GCCTCAGCTTCGGGGAGCAGGCTGGGTCAGATTGAAAAGTCCTAGACACCCTTTAGATGCGGCAGAGAAATGTTTAAAGGATTTGCGCGCTCAAGCTGCGGGGTAAATGGCCCGCAGGCTGATTTATGGCGCGTTACTGCGCGACGCGATTCCCCAAGACAGCGAGAATATTTTACACCGCGCTAATATAAACAGGCGGCCGGCCGGGTCCTTTTTATGGAGTTCCTGTAATTACCCGCGCCCTGACAGGTCCTTGATTTACAGCCCTATTTAGATAAGGGGTCCGGTGCGGGGATTGCCGGTGGCGTCAAGGTCATAAGACGCGGCGGGGAGAAGGTTTGCGGTAGGCGCCCCGGAGGAGCGGGCTCTCCGAGGCCTGCCAGTCCCTTCCTTGGGCCGGAGTGAGGGGAGCAGAGGCGCAAGGGCAGGAGATGGACCCTGAAGCCGAGGCCTCTGTCACTCGGGAGGGCTGAGACTTGAGAAAGGCCGGCCCACTCTACAAATGGGGGCACTGAGTGAGGGAGGAGGCAGGAACTGCGGCCCCCCCCCCCCCAAACCCACAGCGAATGAAATGGAAGTGGATGGGATCTGGAACTGCAAGCCAGGTCCCTGGCAACATCATCCCCACACCTGGCGATGCTTGGTCTCCTCCACCGCCAGCCTGTGAGGGTGGGGTTCTGTGGCGTCAAGGGGAAAGAGGGGGCCATCCATAAAAGGCCCGCTGGGGTCAGAACAGAGCCCTGCACCATGGCTGCCAGGGCTAGGTCGTCATCTTTGTGTGGAGGCCTAACGCCATTGCTTTCCCTGTGAAATGGATATTATTCCTAAAAACAGCCGCCACATATCAGCTTACTCTGTTCCTGTGCTAAGGGCTTCATTTATACTATTTCCTCCCGTGTTAAGTCAGCCCTATGGATGGGAATCATCTTCCCACCCCACAGTTTACAGAGGAGGAAACTGAGGATGGGGAAGTTCACACGAGAGGAACCACGATTCTTTTGCGTTTCAACAGGTGGGCCCCAGTCCACCGCTGGGCTTTCTTAAGCACTCCTTCCACACACCTTTCCACCTCTGTGTGCTTAAGCCCACTAACAGGTCAAACGGGAGAAGATTCCTACCCACCCAACCTCTCCAGCACAGTGGGAGGAGGAAGCGTGCCTTTGAAGGTGCTCTGAGTGCCAGAACTTCTAAAAGTGCTATCTGGGTGAACACCAAGGGGTTCCCGGGAGAGGCAGGTCTGGGGAGTATGAGACTGGTGGGTTGAACCCTGGAGTTCCTGGTTCCTGGTCCTTGGTCTGCAGAAGTGGGCCCAGGGGGAATGCAGTCCTCCCTGAGCCAAGAGCTAAATTCGAGTGTGTGTGTGTGTGGAGGAATTACAGAACTCCAGACTATTGATCCTATCTCCTGAAAATGGAGAAGTGGAGGCTCTGAGAGGGAGAGGAACACAGTGAGAGGCCAGTCAGGGCCAGAACTCTCTTGCTCTCAGCCTTAAAGCCTTGTCTGTCAAACTCCTGGTTTCCAGATCTCCACCCTCACCACCACCACCCCCAACCACACACAAACACACTGAGTAACCTGGGGCAGACAGGACACCCTCACAGGTCAAAATGCACCCGAGCCAGGCTAGAGTCAAAAGCGCCTTGAGTATACCTGCAGAATTAAGTTATTGCTGCTAAAACCTGGCCTTTTCATTTCACTAGTCTTTGAAGAGTCCAGATGCTTGGTAGACGTTCAATGAATTACTTAAAAATTGAATTTGTTCTTTTAGTATCCTCATAAACATTTCTAGAAAGACTTCTTAAAAGAAGTCTTAAAAGGAGTGTTTTTTTTTAAGTTAGGGAACTCCACTAAACATAATTTTAAACTCTAATTTACTGACATTACAATTGAGAGAAATGGCAGCAAAGTAAAACGTACACACATTTATAGTCAATGCTAGGAGGCTGGTGGTATCTGACAAAGAAATTAGAGTAGTGAGCTTGGGGGAAAATTGTGGGGATTTGTAATAAATATTCTCTTTATGCTGTTTCTCTCTGGGTCATGGTAAAACAATAAATTATCATCTCTAGGTGAAGAAAAAGTCACCTTGGGGGTCTCCCAGAAGGCCGGGTCTGGAGCCTCGGCGCCCCGGGGTCTATGCAGGCACCTGAGAGCTTCCTGGCGTCAGTCCAGCCGCAGACCGCCCAGCTGGGAGTCCCAGCGGGTTCCCTAGGGCCTCACTTTCAGAGCAGGCGCCACTCATCTGAAGACTCCCATCCTTCACGATCTTTGTGGGAAGTGGGGGCAGGGGAGCACCCTGCTCTCTAACCACCCACAGATGTGGGGGTGGGGTGAGGAAGCCGGGCAATTTCAGGCCGTCAAGGGATCTGGTGGAGCTGGGACCCACCACCCAGTACTGATAATGCGTTCCCCACCACACTAAGCAGGCTGGCTATGGGTGTGGGGGCGGGGGTGATGTGTAACCATGGGGAAAAGATCGGGACACGTGGGTGGGTGCTGGAGCATGAATTTGTGAGTATGTGGATAATTGTGTGTGCCTGTGTGAGTGCTCCTTATTCAGACGGGTGCTGTGATCACGCACAAGCTACTGTTCAATTCATTTCACCCACGTGGGAATGTGACCCCAGAGGTAAGGCAGAAGATGTGTCACACTGTCTGTGGGTTGGTGTGCCCGTGTGTAGTGTGCAAACACATGGAAACGTCTACTTCTGAGCACCTGTGCATACACAGTAGTAATCGTGGCGTTTGTGGGACAGCAGGCTTAGTTGTGACACTGAGAACACACAAAGTGCATGATGCAGTTTTCGAATGTGTGTGCTGTGAATGCAGTTGTGGGGAGTTGTAAGGAAACACGAACTGGTTGTAGCCGTGCACGGCTGTGGCAGGAGATGAGTGTCGAGCTCGGAGGTGGTGTGCTATCTATGTAGGACGTGTGTGCCTCTACTCTAGTGGACGGTGCTGCCTTCTGCGGCCCACACGCAGGCTTTGGGGTGGCTTCGTGGTAACACATCTGTGTTGGGATGCGGGCCCCATGGGCGGCAGAGGGACGGGGTGTAGAATCCCAGGAACGCGTGAGTGTTCGAATGCTGTCTCGTGTGGTTGTACATGTGGGACCCTGAGAACACACACACTTCAGGCGTGTGGATCTGTGGACTCAGTGTATGTGGCGTGTTTGTGGAGCTTCTGTGCATGTGTGAGCATGGCCACTCAGAGCCTGCGGGTGAGGACTGGGCCCCCATTAGGGCAAAGGCTGGGTGTGTGTTGGGGATTGAGATCCTTCTCAACGTAGCAATTACTTTCCCATCCGACACTCGGGAGAGCCTCCAGGCTGGGGGGGTGCGGGACCCTGCAGAGCCAGGGTGGGGGGGGAGGGGGGAACTGGGCGCCAGGCGCTCCCTCCCCTTGAACCTCCCGCTCTGCTGGGCCCAACCCCAGCGCTCTGGCGCCAGGCGCCCGGACAGCGGCGGGTTTCCAGTTTGCCTCAGGCAGGAAACCAGGACCTTCCTCCCCCCCCCATGCACCTCTAGGGCCCACAGCCCAGCCCAAGTCCCCTGTGGGGGACAGGCCACCCCAGGACTAGGCGTTTGTCTCTTCTCTCCTGTGGTGTCACCCCACTCTTCCCATTTACTCCCTTGCTCAGGAGAGAAAATCACACAGTATCCACTGGTTGGGGGACCCAAGGAAAACCATGCGTCTTCTGCAGACCCCTTCTCTTGGGTCGGTACAAGGAAAAAGTTGGCCTTTCTCCCTCTGCCTTTGGAATAAAGTGTGCTAGGCACATAGTGGCATCAGTAAATCATTAAACAAATGAATAAAGGAACTAATTGGCCTCTAAAAAGAGCAGCCACACACCCTCTCCCCCACCCGGGGAAGGGCGCTGGGAAAGGCTGGTGAGATGGAGGGACCCGGGTATGGGGACACCAGCTAGGGAGTTACTGCAGTGGGAGGTAAGACAGGGAACCCCAGCCTGAGGCGCAGTCGTCCTGGGAATTTCAGGTCCCAAGAGAAGTCCAGGGAAAGCTCCCGGTGGAGAGATTCCGACAAGCAGGGACGGGCCCTGGTGGGAGGGGAAACAGCGAGGTCCAGGAAGCCCGGACGAGTTCTCAGTTTGGTCTCTGCGCCAGCGCTGGTGACGTGCCCCGCGGCGCTTGTCACCCAGCGGGTCCTTTTTTCCCCCACTAAGCGACGCCGGTGACTAGTGTGGAGGTCGCGATACCATCCGTATGTGTTTACCACCGACCGCTGGCTTTTCGCGGGGTGAGCTTCGGTACTAGTGACTTTACTTCCACAGAATCGAGCCTTCTCAAGCGGCAAGGACTTGGGGGAGCAGACCCACGCGCGCCGCACCGCGGGCCCATGGTCCGAGGCCCTCGGAGCAGAGGCTGCCTCGCCCTGGCCACCGCAGTCATCCCGGTAGTACGCACGCCTTGGTCGGAGTTGCAGGGACAGCCCCCAGCCCAGCGGGATGGGGCCAACGACCCAGGGCGACGGAGGCTGGGGCAGAACGTCGGAGAGCCTCGGACGCCTAGTGGGAGCAATGGACTTCGGGACTGGGGGCCGCGGCAACTCCTATTTTAAGTTCTGGGGGTCTAGAACAAGAACCTTTCTTTCTCAGTTTCCCTGTATGAAATTAGGTGTCTCTATTTTTCCCCTTGGGTGCCGGGGGAGGGGGGCAAGGGGGAGGTGAGCGGTGCGTAGCCCCCGCCTCTCCCCTCCCCAGCCGCGAACTGCCTGTGGGGAGGAGGAGGCGGGGCCGCCGCCCTATCCCTGCAGGCTGCCTGGAGGCGGGTGGCGCAAGCTGAGTTTAAAAAACAGGGACGGCCACCGCCTTCTCTCCTCCCCACCCCCCTGCCATTGGCTCCAGGGAGAGGTTGACATCAAAGCCGTGGCCTTATATAAGCCAGACCCCAATCAGAGGCCGCAGAAGGGTTAACCAGGTTTCCCTACGTCTGCCGGACCGGAATCGGGAATCGGGAATCGGTAATCGTCCTCCGCAGCATCTCGACCGAGCCCGCAACAGAGCGACAGAAAGTGGCGGGCTGCACGTCTCCTCATTAGCCTTGCCCCGGACTCTCCCAGTGTCTGCGCTCATCGGAGCGCTGCCCACGGGTGCCCCGGGGCCCCGCATGGGGCAGCACTAACTGGGCTGGCGGTACAAGCCAAGTACTGCTCCAACATGAACATCGTTGGCAGCTACGCACACCACCACCACCACCACCACCACCACCACCACATGCACTCCGCGCACCACGATCCCTTCCTCTTCAGTCCGGCCTCGCGCTGTTACCCGGAGCGGCCCTACTTCCAGAGCTGGCTGCTGAGTCCCCCTGACGCCGCTCCAGACTTCCCGGTCGCTGGGCCACCGCCCGCAGCACCAGTGGCTTCAACTTCTGCCGCTTACGGTCAAGACTCCACCTCCGGCCAGGGCCCCGGGCACCTGGAGGCTCTTAGCGGACGCCTGGGGCGGCGGAAAGGATCGGGACCCAAGAAAGAGCGGAAGCGCACAGAGAGCATCAACAGCGCGTTCGCGGAGCTGCGCGAGTGTATCCCCAACGTGCCGGCTGACACCAAGCTCTCCAAGATCAAGACTCTGCGCCTGGCCACCAGCTACATCGCCTATCTGATGGACGTGCTGGCCAAGGACGCACAGGCCGGCGACCCCGAGGCCTTCAAGGCAGAAATCAAGAAGGTCGATGGCAGTCGCGAGAGCAAGCGGAAAAGGGAGCTGGTAAGTTCGCGGGGCCTGTAAGCTCCAGCCAAGGGCGCGAGCGGCGAGCACCCGGGGCCAGTGCACCACGGACGGAATCTGTGTTGCTGTGTTGCCGTGCGCGAGGCTTTGAGAGGCTGTGGAGAGTTCCGAGAGGTCAAAATGCGGGATTGTGTGCACGAGGGAGATTCATATTTGAACTTAATTTGTAATGTGGGATAGTGTTTGTGAAGCTGTGAGGGAAGACGGCGTTTTAACCTTTTCGGAAGGGGGGGGCATAGGGTCCCTTATAAGAATCCACTGGAATCTTGAAACCCTAGAAAATGCACACACCCCATGTTTCACTTCCAATTTCAAGGGCTCCTTAGCCATGCCTGGCCTCTCCTAGAATCCGGCTTAAGGATGCTGCGGGAATCCTGACTTTACGGTGCCCCTGTGGCTTTATGCATACGGATTTCGTTACGGTTTTCAAATGGTCTTTGCTCGAGAGGCTCGTCTACTTCTGAGGTCGCACGGATAGGAAAACTGAGGCCCAGAGCTGGCCGGGACATGAAGTCCACCAACCCGGAGCGTCTCTGCCCCAGAGGTGCAACTGGGGTAAAACAAGTCGGGGCTTCTAGTCCAGAGTGCGGGGCGCCTCTTCGTATGGTCTGGTTCCAAGGGCGACCTTGATGGTTTGGTGTGTCGACACCAGCAAGCGAGAGTCCGGGTCTCACCCGCTTCTTTGGCTTTGGAGATAAGTCTCTAGTGGTTCTTTCTCGATCTCTCCAGTGAAGGCGACACTTTATAAAGCCCGGCTCACCTGGCCCAGGGCTGTGGAGCCTCCGAGGGCAGAGGTTTTCCGGTCGGAGAGAACTACTTTCTCTCGGTTGGTGCGCTGCGGCGCGCTGCCTGTGGAAGCTAACGAGAGAGCCCCTCCGGTTTGATTGGACCCACGGGGTCTGCTGTCAGCTCACCTGGGGAGACTGGGAAAGACAGATCAAGTCTTTGAACCACCGCTTTGGGCCAGGGGAGAGGCAGGCCCAGGACGATGCCTGGGTGGAAGTTGTTACTGGGCATATTCCCACTTTCTACGCATCCCAGCCTCCTTCAAGTAGCACCGTGTGGTTTCTCGAGAGCCGGGAAGGGGGATGCCAGGCCAGGCCGGTTGCCCTTCGCTTAGCCGTCTGCAGCTTTTCAGTGCAGGCTGGAGGAGACTCAAGCCCAAGAGCTATACCGGGTTGGAAAGCCTGTAAGATGTGTGGGGGAGAGCAGGGCCCGGGCAATGGGGAAAACCGCCGATTTCCACCCCTTCCCTTCCAACCCCCGCGTTCTCTCTCGGGCGCCACCAGGCCAAACCCAGGCACATCAATTTCACGAGATGTAAAAAATTCTCATTACCGAAACTCTAGCAGTTGCCCAGCCCATCCTGCCCCCAGGAACTCGGCACATAAAGGCAAATTTTATGAGCTTGTTTGCCTATTTCACAAACAGAAATCTGTCACTTGTTTAAAGGTTCCTAGCCACTGCTCCCCCACAGCCCACTCTACGCCCCAGTGACTGGAGCGGAAAGATTTAAACCTGTCTCTCTCGCCTCTTTTCTTGTCTGTGTCCTCTGGCAGCAGCAACATGAAGGCTTTCCTCCTGCCCTGGGCCCAGGCGAGAAGAGGATTAAAGGGCGCACAGGCTGGCCACAGCAAGTCTGGGCGCTGGAGTTAAACCAGTGAGCCGAGGCCCGCGCCGAGGACCCCGCCACCGCGGCTGGCCCCGAGGCCCGGGAGGAGAGGAAGGTGGCCGCGAGTGCCAGGCTCTGGGTGCCAGGGACGCATGGGGCGCAACTTGCCGAGCGTCGGCTGTGAGCCGGCAGGTCGCTCGCTGGCTGCAACAACACACTTGGATCACACGTGCAATGTCATTTGAAGTTGTTTGTAATACATTAAGAGAAATAGAAATTTATATATATATCCACCCCCATAATGGAGAGGGCGGCTCTTGGCGGCACGATGTGGGAGGGAGGTACTGCAGGACGGAGTGGGCTGAGACGCCAATTCCAACCCTTCTGGGGCGAACTTGGAACCCCCGGCACCTTCCCCGCTGTGCTGTCTCTCATCCCCTCCCTGCTTCCAGTCAAAACCCTCCGGCCGACGTCAATTCCCTAATTAAAATGCAATAAGAGGAATCGGCAGGTTACTGCCAAGGACAGAGGACCAGGTCAGGAAGACGGAGGGCAGCGCTTTGTGGTTGAAGGCCCGCAGACAGTGGTGTTTTCGTTTTTCATCGCTGCACTTCCTACTTAGTTCCGAAGGAAACACTTCCCCCTCCCTCCCTTCCTTTCTCTTGCTTCCTTTCTAAATGAAAGCTTTTCCCTATGCTGAGAAGTTTTTATGTATTTAAACTACCTACAGTGCCTGGTGCGCTCAGGTGTTTGGTGTTTGTTCATACTCCCAACCCCACCCTTTTTCTACCTCAAATCTACGTGACCACTCACCGCCCTGCCCTTTGCCAAAGCAGTATCTATGCTCTTGACTAATAAAACGTTTTCTGAAATTGGAGGAAGCCCGTGTGATGTCTTGATGGGTATCTGTCCTTGGCTTCATTGTTTCTGCTGAGTGGAGCGCCTCTGGTTCCTCCTTTCTTTTGGTAAATGCCAAACCAAATTGCAAATCAGGTCAAGGGGAGGAGGCAGATAAAAAACTTACTCCTGGAATGAGTAAGTTCTCGGAGTATGAAGGTGGGACGGGATAACTTGAGTGAACCCACTGAAAGGAAAACTGAAAAGCAGTTCATCTCAGGTTATCGCTAGAATTTAGGTGGGTCGGCGTTTGGGCGGGTCTATCTCCGGGCTATATGCACACCGAGTCCGCAGGCAGTGGTCCGGGGTTATCGGGAAAGGGCGTCATCCCGGAGGGCAGTGTAGCTGGGAGGAGCGGGATGTGCTCCAGAATTCTCTGTTCATGCCTATGCAACAGTGAACACGCAGCCGTGGTCGCAGGAACTCGGACGGAGCCCGGCGCCGGGGCCGCGAGGGTCTGCTCAGCACGGCTCCCAGCTCGCAGAAAGGACTCGAGCCGTCGGGTTCTACCAACGACTCGCTCAACAGTCAGTTGTGAGGGCGCGCGGACTTGTGCTTAGGGGTGGGGGTGCGTGCACGCTAATTCTGCCACTCGTACCGGGGAGGGGTCTTGGCGCTCCCATTTGCGCACCCGTGGCTGGGCGTGGGGGTGAATAAAAGCCGGTGCATTAGCCAAGCAGTGGCGCGTGCTGGACTAAACTGGGGCGGGCGAAAGAAGGCGCTTGTGTGTCCCTGAATAATCGACTACAGACAACCAGTTTGGCTTGCGCACAACTGTGTGCTCGGCACTGGGCTACGCGCTGGACGCCTCTGAACAGCCCCCACGACTGCCCGAGGGTCTCGCGGTCTGCGGCGCTCCCTCCACGGGAAACGCCAGGATGAGCGCGGCCCACGGCGGCTTTCGAGCTGCACACCCGGCGCTGAGGTCCCTCGACTTGGGACCCAGAAACGAGACCCCTGGCGGCTCCGGGGCCCGGCGAGTCCAGGTGCCCCGTCCTGGCACGGGGGTGAATATGGGGCCCCATTAGTGTCGGCCGTAAACACCGGGGCAGGGGCCGAGCAGCCGCTCGGGCCTTTCCGGACACGAAGGAGTTAATAAAAGGTGTTTTATGGACGCGAGGAAACGGTGGGGGAGGTGTGAGCTTCTCTCTACTTCTACCCCCCTACTTTTTTCTTTTTTCCCCTCTCGCCACCCGCCTCCAGATCAAACAGGCCGGTGATTTAACTAGGGCAACACCTCGCGGTAATGAGCCGTCCTGGCACACCCCTCCCCCCCCCTCAGTTCCCAGCCCCAGGCCCCAAGGCCCCTCGGGCAGGAGCAGAAAAGGAAAATCGAGTTGTTTGGGTTCCCCTGGCCCCTTTCTTTCCAAGAGCTAGGAAGCCCCTTAGAAATCCTGGTACGAACAGGGACTCTGAGACTCAGGGAGCAAGCCTGCTGCTTGAGGTGCCCAGGCACAGAGGGGGCCTCACTGGGATTCGAACCCAGGACTACAGCTTGGTTTACAGACCATCCTCTGTCCGCACCGAGCGTGGGGACTATTTTTAGCACCTGAAGTATCCTAGGCACGGGAAGAATGCGCGCCAGGTTCGCTTTCTTGTATCCCCCACCAGCGAAAGGAGAGAGGCTACGGAGGGGCACCGCCTGCGCAGCCGGAGCCATGTCCAGCCTAACTAGGCCTGCTCAGGACCCCCGCCCCCAGCCTGGCCCAGACCCCGCTGAGCGGGTGGAGGCTGGAATTCAGCCCAGGCACCTCCCGTCCCCATCTCAGACTGAGGACCTGGGAGCTGTGACGGGGCCGCCGGGAAGTCGTCCCACTCTCCCCGAGCCTCACGGGGAGGGGGGGGCGCTTAGAACGCCGGGGCCACCCTCCCAGCCCCCACTGTCCGACTGGAAAAGCGGCCCCCCAGGAGGGGACCAGCAGCTGCAGGGTTCACGCACCCGGCTGCGCGGGGCCTCCGGCTCTCCGCTTGGCGGCGGCGCACGGTCGTCCCTTGCCGGAACCCGGCGTTAGCGCCTGGCGTTGACTCCCTCTCTCTCCCAGGCTCCAGCGCAGTGTGTCAAAAACTTGCCTCAACCCGCTGGGGCAGAAGCGGTGCCGTTGTTATTATTATTTTTTAAAGCATTACCTTTTTTTTTTTTTTTTTTTTTAAATCTAGGGGGGAAATGGAATGGTCACGAACTTAAAAGTAAATTCCAGGAATTTCTCGTAAGGAACTGCTCCTCATTGGTGTTGGAAACCTTTAACGGCAGGACCTGTCTGCTAAGGAGTGAAAACTAGGAAAAGGGCCAGACGTGCTATAATCACGGAATTATAACCGGTTCGAGAAATCCTTCAGGACTGTGGGTTACTGCACAGCCACTGGAAGGAAATGTGAGAGGTGACCCGGTACAGGAAGCGAGAGGTACCCCCTCCCAGGCCACGACCGAAGGCTGTCCATCCCGACCTACCTGCTTTCTGTAAAAATAAGCGAATGAACGGGCCTATATCACTCATGGAGAAAAGTAGAAGAATATACATCAAGACGTTTACGCCTCTACCTCTGAGTTGTAGGAATACGGATAGTTTTGACTTTTCCTCCTGCTTAGCTATTTTTCTACATTTTTCAACAACGAGTATTACTTTTACGATAAAAAATTAAGCTGCAATTTCCTTCTAATTTCTCCCATAGCCAGCGTACTCTCAGTACACTGTTTAGTGAATATACATGAACTGAGTGCCCACCTAATTTGTACCCACAGTGCCTAGCTGTGGGCATCAATATAATGAGCAAGAAAGAATCCATATAATTACCACCAATTAACATGCGATAGTAAATGTTTGTCTTGAAGAGTTACCTATTCCTTCCACACTGTAAATAGGTCTTTTTCTCACACTGAAAATCTATATAATGCATAATAATAACAGCTAAAATTTGTTAAGGAAATTATGCAAAACCTTGGCATGCATTATTTCATTCACACCTAATGAGGATTCTTTCTTTGAAACCTGATGACGGTACTATGAGGTTAATACCGAGGCATCCAAGGCTCAGTAGGCGAAGGACTGTGTTCAAGGTCACATAGATGCCAAAGGCTGACGGAGCTTGGATTGAAGGGCGGGTCTGGCGGTCTCCGGAGACCGGGCTTACCCCACATTTCAGCACCCCTCCAGGGTGTGGCTGTGTGTGCAAACACAGCGGCTTGGTCTGCTCTTCCTCGGCGAAGTAAGGCAGAGGCAGGAACAAGGGGGTGTGGAGGCGTCTGGAATTCTCCCTCTAGCCTTCACCTGTAGCCCACTTCCCCGGTCCCCAGGTGGAGTGGACTCCATCTGCTCCTCCACCTCCGGTTCCTTCCTGGCTGTAACACCGACTCTAGGGGATCGATGTTCTGCTAGTGGAAAACTCAGCCTGTTCATCTCTGAGCCAGCCTCTGATGACTATGTAGCGTATTCACCTTTTCTCGGTACTTTCACTTTTCTAAGCACATTTTCCTTCCCAGAAACTACAAGGAAGAAGGGCAGGGGATGATGGCTCCTCATGGACGAAAAGGAGAAAGGAAAACCCAGAGAGATGCAGTGACCAACTCAGGGTCACACAGCCGGTCGAGGGATAAGAAGGCGGCCCGGAGACTTTGGGGCCAGGACTCCGTCGGAAAAGGCTGTGCACCCTTTTTCATGCAACCAATGCAACCAGCAGCTAAGCTTATGGCCTTACTGAATCCTCATAAAAGAAACGAAACTAAGGAATCAGCCAATCTCATTTTTAAATGAAAAGTGACTGGGAAGAAAAAAATATGCAGGCTTTAAAGTGTCTGAAACCAGTCTCCTGATTTAAACCTAATTTGTTTGGAAAAAAAATTTTTTTTAGCTGAGAGAGTTTTTACAGCTGAGCTCTCCCAAACCCATAAAAGCAAGGTTTATATGGGAAATAGTGAAAGACTCTTAACTATAATACACAGCGTCTAATGTAAGCGGACATGGACACTATATAAAGCTCCTACAAATGTTATTAAAACAAACAGAGATACACATTTATCCCCACAGAATGGACAATGCAAGGCATCGGACTTTCGAGGGGTTCTAGAATTCTTATGTTCACTGAAATGTTAAAGGCACCCCATAACACTGGGGCTTCAAAGGTCCTTACTCACCACCCAAACATTTCCCTCACTTTACAGAAGGGGAAACTGAGGCCCAAAGCGGGAGGACCTTGCCCAAGGTCACGCAGGGTGGGGGGGTTGTCTTTTTTTCACTTTGTCTACCTAACCCCTTTGACTTCCAGGGCAGGACAAAGAACATCGCAGTGGCTGAGGGACCCTGCACAAGTCACGGAGCCTCAGTTTTCTCATCTGCGGAAGGGGAGAGATCACCGCCTCAACTTCCTGGGGTTTGTGAAGATTGAACGAGATACGGTGTGCAAAGCACTCAGCACGCTGTCCACCGCAGAGCTCCTTTTCTTACTTTAGTTCATCCTCACAATCACCTTGTGAAGCATAAAGGATTTACTTCGGTTTGTTTCTTCACCTGTTTTGGAAAGGTAGGACACACTCCTGAGAGGCACGGAAGGGTGAAGCGACCTACCCAAGGGCACACAGCCATGAGTGGTGGCTTCCTGGTCCAGAGCCCGTGTGTTCCAAGTCATTCAGGTAAACTGAGGGGTGGGCAGCAGCAGCGGCTGAGCTCCGAAGCTGCATGAGGTAGTGCTACAGAGCAGAAATGCGGTACAAGCCGCGAATGTGAGCTACGTGCATAATTACGACTTGTTAGTAGCCACGTTAAGAAGGTAAAGAGAAACAGATGAAATTAAACTTAACAATATATTTTATGCTATTTACATATTATATCTTTTACTTTATATGTCTAGAGTATCATTTCAACATGCAGTCAATATAAAATGACGAGATATTTTACTCCTTTTTTCATACTAAGCCTTCACAATCGGGGGTGTGTTT